AAGCAGTCTTTGCACAGAGATGCCAAACTCCGGTTTGGAGCTCTCTCCCCACCTCAGAAGAGGGGTGACAGGGCAAACGGTCTAGCATTCCATCTTCACGAGCAGTATTTTCTATCTGTCATTACCCTTTGAAAAAAAAAATAACGTAAAAAACAATCACTGATGGCTCATAGTACCTACTGCCTGGACACGAATGGAAATAGTTGGTGGTGATTTTATGTCTGAAAGCTTTTCTTGAGTTTGTCCTTGAACACGTCCTTAGCTTGAAAACACATTCGGGTGTTCCCGTTGTATGGATCTTTCCAAGGAACCAGCTTCTGGGGTCCTTTTTGGTTCATTTCTGTTTTTTCTGTTGGTTCCCTGTTTTCAACGTCATTGAGTTCTGCTCTCATTTTCGTTGCATCTCTCTTCCTCTGCTTGCGTAAGACCTATGTTCCTCTTTCTATATTTTACCGCGTGGTTTACTGTGCTTTCCTAAAGAGTTGTATTTTAATCGAGATTCTGGGCTGCTGTTTGGAGTGACCCACAGAGCCGTGGAAGAAATCGAATCGTCATGTAAGGAAACCGCTAAGCACACGCCATCTCTTCGTGTCCTCAGACCATCTTCCATGCAGCCGCCTCATCTTAGGAGCTAAGTGTTTGCTAGCTTCTAGCTTGTTGGTCCTTTTACTGAGCTGGGTTTTTTTTCCTGGGTTTGAGTCTCTCTCTCCCAGCTGGAGTTGGCTTAACCCCAGCTTCCTTCTCCGAGGGACCCAACTCCCACAACTGCTTCCCCGCCCCCCGCAAACAAGCCACAGACATAAAGTGTGCAGAAGACAAGCCAGCGTCCACCTGCCCTAGAGGCGTGTTCCTAAATGCGATGCGTTTCATGTCAGCTGCTGTCAGTTCTGGGCTCTCTTAAAGAAAAAGTGAAATAACAGCAGGATCAGATCATCTCATACTGAGCACAGGGTAAACGTTAGCTTCACGATGTTCCCCATCAGAACTTGGGGTGCGACTGGCAAAGCCATCAGGGCAGGGTTTGGTGGGTGGGGCTGTGTTCTGGGCTCTTTACCTCCTGGACTGTGAGATGGCGCTTACACCTGGGGTGAAAGCATAAACCTCCTTGATGGGGTGGGTATAAATACGTGTCTTGGGGTAAAGGTCATGTATGCTGTGCTGTGCTTTTCTTCTTATGTTCAGTAGCATGTAGTACATGCGCACAGAAGAATTACCGGTCTGCACACTCCCCATGCGGGTTTTGGCTTCATGTGGTGACAGACCTCTTGGTAGCTGAAAACCTAGGAATCTTTGGGTTTTGGAAGGTCCTCCTGAGATGGGCTGACACGTGGCATGGGAAAAACAGTCTCCCTTCCGAAGGTGGCTGCCCGGCGTCCCTGCTGTGCCGTGAGAACAGGTGCACCCACACTCTACCCCAAGAGGCGGTTCATAAATTGTTCCTTTGGGGTGTCTTTGCTCCAGATGTGCACTATGCTATGTCTCTCGGGGTTTCCAGGATGCTTAATTTGTGGCATTACGGGAGCCTAATCAGTTGTGGAAAACATCCTGTGATGATTGGAAAGTAGAAGGCAGGGTGCTGACACAATTAGTCATCCAGTTGGGCAAAGAGTGGTTTTGGATTTTCTTGCTTTGACTGAAGGCAGATTTAACAAGAGGGCAATCAAGGCAGAGCAAGTGGCTTTTATCAAGACTTGAGGACCTTGGGGGTTTTTATTGGCTTCCCAGTGGGTGGCGCGTGGCTGGCGTTTGGCGCCTGTCTTTCGCGTTCACCCTGACTGCAGGGCTGCGCCGTGATCGGGTGGGTATATGAACATGTCTTGGGCAAAGAACACATTGTCTTGCTGTGGGTGGACAGGCGTCAAGGACAGAGTTGGGAGATGGACCCATTTGTTGTTCTGAGGTAATAATTGGGATTCTGTGCACTTACCCAGGTCAAGGGCTGCCTGCATTGTGCAGAGATTAGTGTTGTGTTTTCCCCAATCCAGGGGCACAGGGGACAACTTTAAGGTCACTCCGTGGGACCCTCAGATCCCCTCCCTCCCAGATCCCAGCTCTTTAGAGAAGTGAGTGTGCAATGGCAATTGCATCTCCCTGAGAACATGAGGGGTGGTTTTGGGATATCAGGAAGATTTCTGGGAGAAAGCACATTTTAGTCAGTTTGTCCAGTGGCGTCTTTGACCCTGGAGAAAAGTCCTTGTTCTGAGCAGGTATTGATGGAAGGCTGGACATCTGGCTGCAATGTCAGAACGTGTCATTCGTTGAAGACTTTCAGAATGCCTGTCTTGGGTGCGTATCACACTCCCAAATGATACCAACCTAAGTCAGCCTAAGTACTGAATGAGAATTCCAAGAGCACGTGGTGGATCCTAACACATAAGACATGTGTGCTTTGCAGAACATAAGACCAGAAACATGCTGAAAGTAAGTCGTGTTTGGAGAAGGGTGCCCTTTGCACAGTACTTAAGAGGTGGAAGAAATTCCTCTTGGAAGAGCTCGTTGCTGGAGTGTTGGGGTGCTCTCATCAGCCCATAGTTCAGATGAAATTGCTTCTCCAAGTGGCCTCCTGAAACCCTTGGGGAGTCCGTGAGGTCACCACCACTTCTATAAAAATACAAAAACATCACGTGGCTTTTTCTCTGTCCTTCTCACGTGGCTGTTTGGGGGAATTTCCAGGGACTTCCGCACGGGTGACCAGATCATCTCGAACAACCCGTGGCATCTGTCTGTGCTTCCTCTGAGCTTTGTCTATTTCTGTTTTCCTTGGTAATGTGGGTACTGTCTCCAGATACAGCCCCCACCGTCTCACCGTTCCTGTGCTCCTAGATATGTTTCTAGAGGGCTGAATGATCTGTGAGGACTATTGAACTACGACCGGGTCTAAGATGATCTTGATTAGCGTCTGCCTTCACTTTGACTGAGGAACGGTGGGTCCCGGGTCCAGCGAGTTCTTCTGCAAAATGAAACGCCACCTCATGTCAGAAGAACAAGTCTCGAATTTTTCATTGTCTTACCTCCAAGTGAAGTGGTCACGTCCGACTAAAAATTGCACTTATTTTCTTCACAAGTGTGAACGTTCCTGTCACTACCTAGATGTGAAGTCACTTTGCAAAGGCATTTCTTGAGCTGTTTGAGAAAATGGATTATTAACCCATACTGTGTGCCAGGCACCTGCAGTTATTGGCAGGGGAGACGTGAAAAGATAGGACACAGTTGATGGTTTTGAGAACTTGCTAACAGAAATAATTGCAAGAAAAAGTGGACTGTGGTAAGGATTGTAGTCAAGGTGCCCAGAGGAAGTAGGGATTTAAGAGCAGATATAGGATTCTGGGGGGGAAGTTAAGTACCAGCTTTGGCTGAGCTGTGTGAGTGGGAGAGAGGGATGTAGTGATACGTTAGGTACAAATCGTGGGTGTCTCTGATACGGGGTGGACCTGGGTGTCTCGGGGGCAGAGTCGGTACCCCACCATATGTGTTCAGCCAGAAACTGCAAGAATGGGTGAGTTGTTGAGGATATGTGGCCCTGGTGAGAGCAGTAACTGTTAGCTCAGCTTGAATTGACGAGGGACCTTTGCCTCTTAGGACTGTCAAGACAAGACAGAGACAGACAAAGATGGGAGGCCGGAGGCTCTAAAATGGGGGCGATTCTCTTGATTGGAGAACTCAGCAGTCGGTCATTGGACGAGGTTTCCAAGTTTGGGGTAGCTTTCCTTAGATCTCATGTGAAGGGCGTCCCCATGATAAAATTAATATTATTATGCAATTTTAATACTGTTCCCCTGTAGCAGGAATAAGTTGAGAGTTGCATCCTTCCCCTGTGTCACATGAAATAGGAATAAATCTCAGTCGCTTTGGAACAACATGGGCTGCGTGAGCCCCAAGTGTTAGGCAGATAAGACGGCTTATGCTTTGGACCCCTTATGCTGGCGTGCCTAATTCGGCGTGTTGGGGTGGCTAGTTCCGGGCTCACCCGTCTCTCTTGGGGACTCTCTTTGTAGCCAAAGTCCTCTGTTCTGCGATTCCTGGATGCAGCGCTGCCCGCAGCAACTTGGCCGTGTTCTGTGGTGGATGGGACACCCCAGCTGACTTATTATTATTGGATCTGACTTCACCTCGCTTCACTTTAAATAGCCACATGTGGTTGGTGAGCTCTGCAGGGGCCAGCACAGCCTTAGACGTTGAAGAATCTTTACCATACGAGTAAATACAACCAGAAATCACAAACCCATTGTTCCAGGAGTCTGTCCCACCCGGGCAGCTTCCCAGGGACTTCTCAGATGCCGTCAGGGATCACACTGTAAACAGCTTTTCAGTGACATTCGCTGCTGTCTCCGGAATCTTTCTGGGACCTGAGATGAATTCTACATCTGAAGGAGGGCCTCTTTTTTGTAATAGAGTTAAATGTTCAGGGATATACTTAAAATTTCCAAAAGTGATTAATATTGGCTGCTGTTTTCTAAACATCAATCGTACTACATTCCACACTGACCCGTTTTACAGTATCTTTTATTTTTTTATGGAATAAATCCCAAAGTTTACTTGAGGTTTCATTGGAAAATGCTTTCAAGTGAGTAAAACAGTCTCTTCTTGAGAAGATGTAGTGAATATAATGATGTAGTCATAATAATTCTATAATAATATTTTATATTCTATAATTATGTAGCAATGTATCATTACATATATTTATCTCCCATCTCTCAGCCTTGGAAATATTGGCAGACTTCTGATGGGTACACACGGATGCGCACCTGGCACGCGCGCGCGCACACACACACACACACACACACCCCTGGCCTACACACACACACACAACACACAGATACACACACACACACACACACAGATACACACACACACACAGACACACACCCCTGGTCTACACACACACACACAACACACAGATACACACAAACACACACACACACACACCTTGGCCTATCTCTCCCTCAAACTGCCCACACACACACCACACACACACACACACACACACACACACACACACACCTGGCCTATCTCTCCCAAGTTTTTCTCAAACTGCCAATACAGTTGATTTCCAGGAACACAGGGATAAAATAGACACAGATAACCCCCCAAGAAGGCAGCGAGGGGTCATCCTCAGGCAGGAAACCGCATCCCAGTCCTGTAGGATGAAAAGCAGGCGGCAGACCGTGGAACTAAAGAGGGGGAAGTGATCGCAGGAGACAGCCGGGCAGCGCAGACCCCGGACGTGCTCCAAACCTGGGTGAGGTGAGGAGTGAAGCCAGAGCAGGGGTGTCCTTTCTGAGAACTCCATGCGCCCCTGAAAGGTGCCCAGTGCTCAGAAAACTGGCAGTTCTGTTAGAGCGGTTTCCTCAGTACAGAAATGGAAGGAAATGGGAGGCAGACGCCCCACAGCAGAGCTCTCCCCATTCTCCTGCTTCCAGGGACCCCCGTCCTCACCCGCACACGGACTCTTTCCAAGTCGCCCCCTCCCCTGTCTCCTTACAGAGGAAAAGACCGCAAACCTGGGGTGGATCGGCTCGCCGTCGTGTGCGAGGCATCAACGTAATGAAACACGTGTGCTTCTAGAAAAAAGCAGATCGTTCAGGGAAGCTTAGAGATTGAACCTTAAAAGAGAAAGGGGAACATCACTGAAATGAGAAGAAGAAGCGTCACGTTGAGTCCTGTTTTCAGAGAACTTTGAGCAGATTCTGTCTCCATCCACAAAAAGAGATAGGATGTTGCAGTGGAGGTAAAACAGAGCTTTACATTCAACGGCTGAATGTTTTAAATGCTTAAAAAGAAAACTTTCAGTAATCAAAGGGGCAGTGTTCTTTGTGCTTGTGGACTTAAGTTACGGGTGTTGGAGCTGGTAGTGTCCAGATGCACCCCTCAACTCTAGACCTTCTCTGGAGCCCTGGAGGGCATGGCTTCAAGGCTGTGCCTCCTGGGGGAGTCCAGCTCTCCGTGGACACCCTGTAGGCCCCTCAGATCACCCCTAGCCTTCAATCTAACGTACCCTCCAATTTCCATTTAAAACCTATTTTCTCCAAAGAAAACATCTTTCTTGACCCTTCCACCAAGGTAAGTTTCAAGCTTAGGTTCGTCTACACGCCTGTCTTCTGAAGTCATGCAGCCAAAACTGAGTCATTCATCATGCTGAGCTCATCAGTACGACGATGGCTGTGATAATTCCACTCCCCCCCTCACCCACCCACCCCCATGACAATGCAAGTGCACGCCAGGGCAGCCTTGTGGGGTCATTGCTCTTCGGAGTCACGCAGAACCGCTTACACACACAGTATCAATCGCGAAGGAAAGAATTGACTAAGTGTTGTCTCAGACAGCTGGATTGTATTCAGAACAAAGTTGTCAGAGATGGAGATTTGTAAGTGTTTTTCAATTGGCCATTGATACAATACAAGAATTGCATGTGATCTAGGGGGCAGGCCCTCTAAAGCCGTCCAGTGTGGTAGCCATGAGCCACAGTCATGCAGTGGAAGTGTATTGGGTCAGTTGCAGTGGCCACCTGGGACCCTGTCCCTACAATATTGATGGTCACCACAGAAAGTCCTACGGCACAGAGCTTGCCCTGTCATGCCTGTCAGTCAATCAGTCTGTCATCTGTCTATGCATCCATCTGTCCATCCATCATCTCTGTCTCTGGCAGTGGTTTACATCCAAGAGCAATTCTGCCTCCCCAGCCTCAGGGACTCTTGGCAATGTCTAGAGACAGTTTTGGTCCTCACCACTGGGTGGGAGGCGCTACTGGGATCTGGTGGGTGCGGAAGGGATGCTTCTCAACACCCCGCAGCACACAGGACACACCATCCCGGAGAATTTATCTAACCTGGAATGTCACGAGTGCCAAGCTTGAGAAACCCCTATGGGAAGGGTGGCACGTTCTTGGTCATTTTGGGGTGTAGCTTGACGTCACCCTATCCCATCCCGGCTACAGTTCAGAGCTGCGTTTTCACCCCGACCAGCTGGTACTGTGAGCGTTTCAAGACACCACCTCTGTACTTGCTGAAGACTCACCCAAATGCTGTTCAGAGCAGCAGACACCGCGCTTCTCTGAACAGCAGAGCTGAGGCAGGAATTCCAAGCATTTCCTTTATGCACCGTGTGTTAGGTCTGGGGGCTGGGGTGGGTGGGAACTTTCTGTGTGCCTTGTTTTCCTTTGTGCTTATGCATTCTGTATCGTTGATATATCAGGAGAGAGCATCATTTAGTAAATAACTGCAAAATAAGACGAATGTAGTTCTAAAAACCTGTGTTCGATTTTTCATGCGACAACTTGACAGGGTATGTGACTTGACTCAGGAAAATTTGGAGGCGTTCCATGTTTTAAGAAAAACAAAAGCTGTCTAGACGACTGAGCTGGCCCAGCAAAGCCCCCCTGCCCTGCGCTGAGCCGAATTGGAGCCAGTTTATCAGCTCCACGTTGAAGTAAACAGTCCAAGTCTTAAACCAAAGCAAAACTTGGTAAGCTTATCTAAAGCACGTATTCTTTAAAAAAAAATTCTGCATATTGGAACATAATTCACGCCCCAAATGATTCATTCACCGCTTTAAGTTTAATGAGAGTGAATGCTCATTCTTTTTCAAAGGACTTCTGAAATGCTTTTTTCCATAAAACAGACGTCTGACCGTATGTGGTCGTGCGCAGCCGTAATGCTGAAAATTGGCTTGGAAGGAAAACTGAGCGCAGTACACCAATATGATTTCACAGACTGCAGTTTCTAATCTTGTCTCTAGGTCCCTTGAGTGCCGATAGGTGAAGGAAAAGAACAGACTTCTATAATGAAAACGTCATACATGAGGATCAGGTCGTTATTGTGCAATCACTACATAGCAATCATTTTCACAGATGAATTTGCATAAATCTAATGATGGTACAGATAAAACATTCTGATAGTGCATAAGTAAAAAAAAACATAATAGTAATAAGACAGTGACACAGCGAGATGCAGCCGTGTTTCTGTCCCCCACCTGCCCTCTTGCGTGACGCTGGTACCTATAGTAGCACCTTCTGTCCTGCAAGTGCCCGTTCATGATATAGAAGCAGATGTCGTGACGGAGAGGGCACTGACATTTTAATGGCAGGCAGGTCCTGTCTTTCATTCTGCTTAGGAATGGCCTCTTTTTTGTATCGTTTTAGATATTTGCAGACAATGTCACCAGTGCAAATGGTGTAGGAGGTGAATCGATTGCCTTCATTGCATGGAAGAGAGAAGTGATTGCCAGGGGCTGGTAGCCAGGGGTTCCAGGTAAAGGGGAGTGTTTGCTGACACCTGGCCCGTGTGGCGTGTCTGCTACTGAAGTGTGTTGGAGGGGACCCCCAGATTGTCCCCAGGGCGCCCAGCTGACTCTAAGAGCCCGCTGCCAGGTACCGCCTCTTGTTTTGTGCCTGTTGACTCACTGCACGCCGCCTGGAGCAAAGGGTGTGTCGTCCTCTCTGGAGTCGTGGTGCAGAATTTCTGCCTTGGGGACGAGGACAGATGGATGTGGTGTCCAGGCAGCCTTGCGTTGCAAGCATAGCCCAGACCCGTCTGCAGCTCCTTGGTGGGGAGTCCCTGAATCCCGTGTGGAAGCATGACAAACAGGCGTGTTCCCTCAAAGCCCACTGCAGACAGAGCCCAGTGGCCAGCCAAGGCACTACCAGGCCGGGGGTCTCTGCTCACTTCTGTGGGTACCGTGTTGGCGCTGCCCTTTCACGTTGCTGCGTCTCAGAGGGCACAGAGGCCTGGGGGCGGCCCGTCCTTCCCCAGAGAAGCCCTGCTCCTGGGAAGCGTCCCATCCCCCTCAGGCTGCTGGGTGTTTTCCCCTGCATTTCAGAGAAGACCAGGTCTCCGCCTTGAACGTGCCCACTTGTGCGGGGGCATCAGGGATTCCCGTGTGCAGGGCACACCGAGCATCCTGCGATCAAGACGTGCTGCAGATCGGAGGACGGCTCTTGGCCAGCGACACGCGGCTCCACCACCTGCAGCATGGTGTGTTGGCCCTTTTAACCACTGAGATCCACTCTCACTTCCCTTCCTGTGACGATGAACGGAATTCTTAGCTCTTAGAACGTGGCGCCTGTTGTTAGGGAAGCAGACAAAGAAAGTAACGTAAGTTCCTCAAAAAGAAATCTGATCGCCAGGGCCGTGTGGTCTGTGATCCATGCAAACTCGAGAGAGGAGGTGGAGGTGCTTGGGTTTATTGGCCGGGTGTTAGAAGCCTTCAGCAGGCTCGGGGGCAGCGTTGCAGGGAAAACACTCGACAGGCATTGCCCATCGCTCGGAGCACTGCTCCTGCCAGGGACGACGGCAGACAGGTGTTCGCGGGGGCCCTGGACACCATGCTTGTGCCTCGGGTGGCTGTGTATTTGAACGGCACAAAGAATGGACTAGAACGATGAAGCTCATGTTTTCATTGGTGGGTCAGACCCCCATCCATGAAAAATGCCTCTTTGCATCTGAAGACTCCCTACAATATCCCCACAGCCTCGAACCATCCTGTTCAGAACTGCTTTACTCCCAGGGTGGGCCCAGGACCCAAGCTGCACAGGGTCAGCATTTAAGAATTATTTCTGTCATCAGTGAACTGTTCCTCCCTGGGCTCTGTGGACGAGATGATTTTATTTATAGCAAACCCCTAAAAGCGTCCAGTCAAGTCATTTTTTTAGGGAATCCTAGCTATTTCTAAATTTCTAAAGAAGGAAGACAATGTGATTTCTCTTCTGTCATGGCTAAATTTCCCAATCTTGAAACACTGTCATTTGGGTATAGGCGTACGAATGCTGTCACACCTTTAACATATCTTCACTAATTTTAGTCCTGATGCTGATGTGGTCCAGTGGTTGTGTAATTATCCTACTTCAGTTTTTTCCCCCAGTATTTGTAAAACAGCGTGTCTTCTGAAACATTCCCTCAAATCCTTTGTGTCTATGCTCTCTGTCGTCGAAAGAGTGGCTATGCCCTTTGTTACGAAGTAGTTACTTCCTTAATGCCCAAGAAGAAAGTGTGTAGAATAAGGTCCTGACAGTCTCCAGCGTAAATTAACAAGAGGGGTGTGTTCCTACAACACTGAGCGGGGGCCAAACTGTCTTGGGAAAGGTACAGAGATACTACGTATTTCATTCGATTGCTGAGTCTCAGAGATAAAGCAAAGGTCATTGGAAACCAAGGCAGTCATATCATAACATCAAAGTGCATTATCTACATTTTTAGTTGAGGGCATTACGTTTGTACATGTCGACGAACCGCTGAGAAATACATTCACTTGCAGTCATTCAACAATGACACGCAGACACAATTAACAAAAAGGCATGTGTGTCATGTGACTGCCTTTTTTGGTGAAACCTCCTTGGGCGTCTCAAGGAAGCTTACGCCAGGTCTGTTCTCGGTGAGGACAGGCCATGTGGACTTGCCCCACCTGAGCAGAAGAGCAGTGATGGCCCGATTGTGCAGAAAATGTTCCCATTATCACGTGTCGTTTCCCGCTCTCTCTGGTCCTGCTGGATGAAGGGCAGCCCTGATCTTGTAGGACCTCATCTTCCTGGGTATCTAACATCTTTAAAGACCTCATTTCCAAATACGGGCATATTCACAGGCACCGGGCATTAACAACTGAACATACCTTCGGGAGGAAACACAATTCAACCCTGAGCCATAGGGGGAGAATTAGAGTGACCCCCTTTAGGTAACGCAGAGAGAGCCAGGCCGGCTGTGGGGTGACTCCCTTCCAGCCCACAGGGTGAGCCAGCCTGGGGGGACCGAGCTGGGTCCTTGGTATTGCCTCTTAAGCACAACTCAACGCAGGAGGGAGAGGCCCCAGCGGGGTTCAGAGCCGTGCTTGCTGGACGGAATAAGAGGACGTGGCCTGTCCCGTTTCTGATGACCCACTTGCATCCCAGAATAAAATCTGGAGTTGTTCATTTTGCCCCTTGTGCAACCGCTTGGCATTCTATGCTACGTTCCTTGTTGCATTCTCTATCGATTTTTCTGAGGTCTTTTAAGTTCCAGCAAACTTGGGAAAAAGAAAAAAATCCTCACACAAACTTAAATTTGAGTTTCTTCCCAATTCATGGACTGTTTTGCATGGTGAACTTTCAAAGACTAAATAAGGGTGTGGGGGGTGGGTGCTCCTTTCCTGAACCCATGGAAACTCCCTTCCCTGAAAACAGGCGGTGAGTTGTTTTTGAGTGGAGAGGATGGTCCATCTCTTTTGAGGAGGAACAATGCATTTTCTGTTCTTTCTCACACCTTACTCTGTTTCGTTTTGTTTTTAACCCAGCCGTGACTTCTGAGTAGAAAGGGGGCTTTCCAGTGCACGCTATGCTGTGTTCGTGGCGATTCTGTTAATATTTTCATTCTGCAGGGTTGTCTAAACACACGGACAGAGGTGCTCCATGTTGCTGACTGTGGAGTGTGGGTACACAAGGAGGCATGTGTGCATGGAGAAGCACCTTGGCACACGCTGACGGCGTTTTTCTAGCGGCTTGGGATTTTATAAGCGTGGAAATCTTTTCTTTCCTCTCCACCCCCTAGACATAAAGCCTGCATGAGTCTGTGTGGAGTCTGGTATGAGTGCGGGGGATGGGTGGGGGTGCACACAGCAGGAAAGAGAATGGCAAAGGCTTTGAAAGGTCAGGACTCCCCCCTCCCCCCCGGGGAAGAGAGGGAAGCCCAGGTCTGCCTCCCTCCCATGTTTATAAACACTGAATCACACACACAGGACGGCAATAACTTGGAACCATCTCCCTCATCTGGAAAGTGAGCTGGAGAAGCAGAGACATCTTGTTAAAGGGAAAACCCGTGTTAGACCAGCTATGGAAAGGGTGCATCCCCGCCTTCTCAAGAGATTGCTAAATGTCATTCTGCCTGTGGGAAATCCACGGCCCGCTGTGCGTTGGAATTTAAAATTACTCACAATTTGGGACCGTCATCGGGTGTGCATGTTGATTGGCACATGACTCTTTCTGGAGTGAAATGAGTAAATATTCACACAGAGGGCGATCAAGACCGAATCGTTCCCTATTAAGTCAGGCGCAATGTTTTGTGGCCAGGTGAGCTTGGGAAGACACGTGTAGACTTTGGGATTGTGGGGAAGGAACTGAGGAGCCCATATACTTGATTTTCAGCTTAAATCTTTGACTGGGAATACCTTCGTGTAAGAGCTGCCTCCCAAGTGAGTCCTTTTTCTCTGTCTCACATAATCTCCCAGCTTGGGGTAGAAAAGATGGGGGTCTCCAAGGTTGGGCAGAGGGAATTTTTTTCCTTGAAGACTCCTTTCATCACGGAGGAGACGTCTGGCTTTGAAAAAAAAAGAAAAGACTTCTTTAAAACAAAAATTTCTTGACATAACATTATACCAGTGTCAGGTGTACAAAGATGATTCGATACATGTATTGCAAAATGATCTCCACACAAAGATCTGTTCTCTGTTTCTCTGAGTCTTGTCTTTGTAGATTTCACGCGTCAGTGAGATCACATGGTATTTGTCTGTGTCTGGCTTATCTCTCTTAGCAGACCATCCTCAGGGTCTATCTGTATCATTGCAAATGGCAAGACTCCCTTTTCATGGCTGCATAATATTCCGTGTGCATCTAACCAGGCAGAGGCAGGTCATATGACCATCCTTAGCTGCAGCAAGGCTAAAAAACAGACTTTCCTACTTTCTGAAGGGAGATAACTGAGAGCTGGAGGTGCACTTTGGAAAGTGTCCTGACACCAAGCAGGTAAAGCTCTGCCCTTTTTTTCCACCAATAATGATCGACTTCCAACACCATTAATGTCAGGTCTGCCTTCAGTTCCATGTAAGCCGATCGACTTAAAAATGGTAGCACGCCAGATTTTCCCACCTCGAACGAGGTTGTTTACCTGTGCAGCTGTGCTCACACTGTGGCATTGAGGGACTCCCTGTGTCTCCCAGGCTAATGCAGGCGTTCGCTAGAGCACACAAGAAACCTGTTTTCATTTCTATGTGTTTGCAGCTCACGCGGCTCAGAGAAAGCTGAAATGACACCACGGACAAACATGTAAGAAAATCTGTTGAGTCCCAGCTGTGTTGTTTTTCTCATAGTCATTGAGGACTCTCAGTGGAGGGTCAAAGACAAATGCTAAAAAGACAAAGTTTTACCTAGTAAATACACTTAGGTAATGAGCGGGTTCCCTCTGGGCAGTAGAGACAGATAATACAGAAGAAAGGCACTAGAATGTCAAGGCCGACAGCCTCCTATGCATTTTAAACTGTGAGATGTTTACTTGTTTCATAATTACATACTCTGTTCTGGAGGATATCTTTTAAAAACATAGTGTCACGCACCATTTGCTTTTTTCCCCACAATTTCTTTTCTTAGTTTTTGTAGATCCCTTCCTACATGTGCTCCAGGAAAACATTCGATGGGAGACTTCATTTAAAAGTCAGAATTCCTTATCGTGCCCTCCCACAGCCCTTCCCCCACAAGGCGAGGGGAATTTTATAGCTTGGGGATTTTGATGAATAGAAAATCGCAATGATAAGTGTTTTGCTCGAGTGTAACTTTATTCTTTTTCACGTTAGTGTGTGCAATTCCAAACTCTAAAGGGGAAAGAAAATCAGTTGCTATGTGGTGGTGCCGGAGGTGTGTTTTTCTATCAAGCCATCCTTGAATTCTGTTTTTTCCTTCTAGCACATCAGGTTGATGGCCAGAGAGCCTTTATTATTATTTTTCCAGAAAGCACTATTAGTTAGCCATTCTCAATTCCTAGGGAGACCGCACCCTCTGCATGTTTGTTCGGATGGTGACTGGGGTGCCACCATACATAAGACACGTCAGTGCAAGGCACTCGAGGATCAAGATACATGGATTTCCATTTTTCTGCCCTCTACTTTACCTCTTCTCTGGCCACAAATTAACCTCATTTGGATCTTTGACCTCCTGTTGGCATTGAGTGATTGCCAGCCTGCATGAAGGGCAGGAAGGTGTGCACCATACTGTTTCCCCCTGCCCCTCATAGAGGCTCCTAGAAATAGGAAGGGGCTGCAGAGAGGTGGAGGGGAGGGCATTTTGGTTGAAAATGTCCCACCTGGGTCACCTCAGCTCCTTTCCTGTGTGTCACAGTTGCAGTTTTTAAATGTCCGTTCTCCTCCATCGTAACAGATCCCTCTATATGCTACCTGTGTAGGTGTGTACACCTGTAACACTGTCCACACCCGTGCCAAATTTTTAAAACCAAGAGGAACTGCTTTCTGCACATTATGCACGTGTCTTTGGGAGGAAGGTTGTGGGCCTTCTACCCTGTCTTTACCTAGAAAGCTGTCAAGAAAAAAGACAGACTGAGGGAATGCACCCCCCATATATTCCCGTGCTGCATTTCCTGATGCAGTCCTTCCTGTTTTTTGCCCCTGCAGGCACAGGGACTTTCGGGCGGGTGCAGCTGGTCAAGGAGAAGACAGCCAAGCATTTCTTCGCCCTCAAGGTGATGAGCATCCCAGACGTCATCCGCCTGAAGCAGGAGCAGCACGTGCACAATGAGAAGTCGGTGCTGAAGGAAGTCAGCCACCCGTTCCTGGTCAAGCTGTGAGTCCTCCTCCGGGGCGCCTCCACGCTCCCTCCCCTTGGTCCCCCCCTGGGGGTTTCCTGTGGACTGTTGGAGATGTCCACGCAGATGCACGGCAGGCCCTTCCCACTGCAGGTGCTGGGCACCGCTGGGCTCTTCCTTATGCTGCGTCCTACCTGCATGGAGATCTCCTACCTTCCACCGGAGGGTAGGACTGTCATCCACCCACCAGGTGCTGGAGGTGGAGAGCCGAGAGATGGCTGTCTTTCCCCACCATGAGCACCTTCCACCCCATCCCCGTGTCTTCCCCACACCATCTTCCTCACACTCCTCAAGCTCATTCCTGCAGCCCCTGCCTCACCTGGGGCTCCGTGTCTGCCCAGATTCTCTGCACTGCCATCCCAGCTGTCTTCCTTCCCACCCTTGCTTCCCTCCATGGCATCCTGCCCATTAAAGCCATGGGGCACGTCTCCATATGTCTCTCCAGAGATTTGCATCCTCACCTACAGATCCATAGTGGATTCCGAGCTGCCCAGAATAAAGCCCCAGTGACTTAGCGTCCTGTACATGGCTTGCCGAGACCTCTGTCTTTCCATCCATTCTGTCTCTTTTCCTACGCCCTCCTGTCCGTCATTCAGTCATGGGAAGCCACCTGAAGTCGAAGGCGCAGGGTGCATTTGCATTGTCCCAGCCCACCCCTCCTGTGTGGTGCGTCCTTCCTCTGTGACTTGGGATCCTGCACCCCTCCCACCCGACCGACACCTGCTTTCTTCTCCGATACACCTGCCTGCACATGGAGACAGGTTTTCAAGCATGTTGCCTGCACCCCAGCTCAGGAAAATGCACCTCTCTATTCGAGCCACCACAGCAGTATCCTTCAAGCCCGTATCAGCGTCTTACCCAGAGTAGGGCCAGGTTGCACAGTTAACAAGGACAAGAGGGGAAGTGGCCGACGTTTTCTCCTAAAAAAAAATGTCTTTTCTGGAGCTAAAAGGTGGTCTCGTGCCATTATGGAACATCAGTAGAATGTCATGCTCTTGAGTCACAGAAACAACAATAGTCATGTATTGGGGTGGGGGCACCTCTCAGTCATCAGGTCTGGCAGGGGAACAATGGTTAGAAAAACTGTGTGTACATCATCCTCTGGAATTAAGCTCTCGTCATGTGTTTTCTATAAGAGCATCTACTCATGTCTCTTCTGTGTGACTCTGGGAAAGAATCTTAGCTTGCAAGGCTTTTACATAAATATTTTCTAAAGGAGAGTTCTATTCCTGTGCAATACAGCCAAATGGTTCTCCTGTGATTCAGGCCAGCTGTCTTGGGCGTTTACCAAATACAGGAAGTCTTGAGCCAGAAATACAGGGTGTACTCCAGAAGGTGCTCTATGGGTAAATTTTCCAAGAAACGCAGGGGGGATCTTATTATGCAGAGTTTTGTTTTTCTGTGCATCAGCCCTTGGGGGGACCAGGTGTGTTTGAAAACCAGGTTTAAGTCGAGCTAGGATAAGCAGGCTCTTGAATCTGCCTGCACGTAGCATGGGAGGGCGTGCTGCATCTGGCGAGAGCCAGAGGGTGTCCTCAGCCACATGGGTAGGGACATGTCTCAGCAGGAAAAGGCCGTGAATGAAGAATGTCTTTAATCCCAGCCATGCAGTTTCTCTTGTACGTTGCTTCATCCAACATGCTGCTTTCCATGCTCTGCAGAAACACCAAGCAGTTTTGCTTGCATTTTTGGAAACCACATGGCATGTTTGTGATGCCAGGCATCAAGCTGATGGACAACAGGAAACAGAAGTTCCCCCTGCAGTGTTCTGGCAGGACCACCAGGGGCATTTTCCAAGTTCAGGATTTGAACCGCTCCTGGTTGTATTTCTTGAAAATCTGCCAGAGTGTTCATTTAAATGCACATCAGAGAACACATTCTGTTTGGGGATAGAGCCATTCTGAAGGCCAGCTCAGCCACTGGAGAGATCATTTTAGAGGAGCTGAGTAACTCACTGTCCAGCTAACGGGAATTGGGACAAAGTCAAGGTTTCCCAGGGAGAAAGGTGTGTGGTCTGCTGTAAGACCAGGATCCGTCCCTTGTCTACTTCTTGCTTGTTACGCTCACAGAAAAGGGTCATTTGGATCCAGAACCTGGGTTCTCAGCCTTGGCACTGCTGACGTCTGGGGCCATGTAATCCTCTGTGTTGGGGGCTGTTCTGTGTAGTGTAGGGTGGTTATAGCATCCCCGGTCACCTCACCTGATGCTGCTACCACAACTCCCCTCCACAGAGGTGACAGCGAAACATGTCTCTAGACATTGGCAAAAAGTCTACGAGGGGGTAAAATAGTTCTCAGTTGTAGACCACTACCAGAGATAGATGGAGTGGGTGGGTGGATGATGGGTGGATGGATGGGTGGGTCGATGGATGAATGGATGGATGGATGGATGGATGGGTGGGTGGGTCGGTGGATAGATTGACGGATGGATGGGAGGATTGATGGGTGGGTGGATGGATGGGTGGATGGATAGATGGATGGATGGATGGATGGATGGATGGATGGATGGATGGATG